GATTAAGGTGACTGACTTGAATGACTCGACATTTCCTCTTAACGCTGTGACTATTACTACTATCAGTCGACAGAAATTTTGTTCGTCCGCCATTGGTACGTTGATGATAGTTGCATGCTGACATGAGTTGTTGTGTTGTTCAAAAGAGGGGCAGGTGCGCAGGTGAAAGATCGTTAGTCCATGCCAGTGGTGGGTAATTTATCTTTTACCCTTGTGAAATGGACAAACTAGTACCTCGCTGCGTGAAAAGAGACAGGAGACCCCTGCTGTACTTACCACACTGATATGGAATAAAGCGCTTTCAACTGATGATATAAAAACAGATATCTGCGCTGCACCATAAACGCCATGATGAGAACGGTGCAACGAATGTCGAGGGATACCTGCGTCATAACGGTAGCGAACTTTTTTGCTTTACGGTCTTGTAATGAAGCGTCTTGAACATCATATCCACTTTTTGCAGTTTCTTTGGTTCCAAGCTTACTACGAAGACACCAAAAATCTTAGTTGTAAAGGAAAGCTAGTAAATATATGCGTTATTCTCCTATTAACGACATTCCGAAAGATATCTCCCGCGTAAAGTAGACATGTACTTTATTCAGTTATGTAAATGGTATTACTGAGAGGTGGCCTTCCAGTTTTGGAGATGCCGCGTTCGAATCCCTAAAAATTATCATAACTGCTTAATACTTTGAACAGGGAATTTACTCCATAATGCTCTTGTGTAGTCAGCTGAGAACGCATCGCAAGTCGGTTATTGACTCTTTATGCAATTCGGGCAGGTAGCGTGATGCTGTGCTATGGTCTGACCAGAATGGACAAGAGGTCGGCCATGGCGCCATACGCGAGCGCATGTTGGGGCTGCAATTCTCCTTAACATTTTGTATAGTTGACTATCAGTGTGATAATCAGCTCAAGAAGTAAATGAAAAGGCGTTATTGTGTAGTTTTGAAATCTTCCGTCATTTGTTTAGCAGTAGGGTAAAGTCCGCTATGGTTTTCAACAATGTTATTCACAATTGACTGATCCTTCTTGATTATCATGAATTGCAGTTACAAAGTCTCGATGCTCACGTTCATCAGTCTTATGAAATTTTTCGCCATGCGCTTCCATATCTCTCGTTTAGCTCTTCATTTCACCTGTTCTGAGGTCTTCCAATTAGTCAATTGCAGTTGGAGATCAGTCCGTCACTTACGAAGTTCATCGGTCATCCATCAGTCTTGTTACGTAGTTTGCTTTTGTCTGACTCGAACTGCATCGAGGAGAATTGGGGACCATTTTTTTGTGCTTTTCGCTTGATTCGAATTTAGCAAATAGCGCTTGTACAGGACGTTTGTTTGCCTTTCTCACTAACAGAATGAGTTTCCGAATGATGACTCTGTGAGGCTTGGACAGCTCAGAGTTTTTCTCGGTAAGTTCGACACAGCCAAATCTTCATTCGGCGATTTGTCCTCCTCACCTTGAAGGAGTGTCTCATCTTCCGGAGGTCACACGTTTCTACGTATGGTATTTCGAGGAACCAGCGTTCTTCGCGAAATGTACACTTAAATGGACAATAAGGTTGCACAAATATTGATGCAAAACAGGCTCTATGTAAATATTGTAAATATTATGAAATCAGAAGCCAGCTAGTGGAAGAGTTGTAACATCTGACTTCCTTATTGCAACATGACGCGATATATGAGTACATACAATGGTGATTAACGACTTTATACATACTTTTTGTGATAAATGACAACATTTTTTACTGTTACTTTACTTTTAAGGTTTTTTCCATTTCCGAATAAGTATAAAATGTGCATACTGTTGCAATTCATAATTTTTTAGGCTTATATCGATAACTTATTTTTGAGCTAACGTATGTTTATATTCCATTAACATTTGCGCTGGGGCCTGCTTAATTCCTAAATTAGCGATCAATCAAACAGCAACCGGCCCAACAGTTGTTTTTTATTTTTTATATTCCCTGGCAAATACCGATGCCAGTTCGATCGAAACGTTGGAATACTTTTACATCAAAGTTTTTGTTACTGTTCTTGCCGCCGACCATGAAATCAGGATACCTGTTGGCTTGGTGCTGTCTTGTTAGTTGCCAGACAGCATGTTCATTTAGCGCAGAGAAAGAATTTTTTCGTTTGAAGCTGTTAAACGTCCCCTAACTCTAGTGTCTTCTTTACTTTTTGCATTATGGATCGGTAAAGTACATGTACCAGTTGAAAATTATGGTGAATTTTACCTTTTTGTTATGGATTAGATTATATTATATCTATATAATTTGAATATGGTACATCATCTTTTGTGCAAAATATGGTTATAACTTTCAAAGTAACACAAACAAGTGAAAAGGCGTAAATGTGTTATTTATTATTCATTTTCGTGTTTTATCGAAAACTGTCAGACTGAATTTGGTCCGAACCCTCGGTTTGTGGAAATAAAATGCATCTAAATAAATCTTATGTTGTTCGCAAGTTTATGGCATTTTAAAGGATAATAATTTACACTATTTATGTTTTGCGTGTCGTTTGTAGATCCTTCTATCCGACTTGTTTCCGTCACTTTTCTCGGTGTTATTCCCTTTGCTTCCATCGTTGACCGAACATCGTCATTCAGTCATCCCATTGTGTCGGTTGACGACCGAGTATACGTCTGTTGCTGAGGGACTTAGTTGGTAACTCGGGATGTCCCCCTTTTGTCCTTTAGATGGGCCGCATGTCCAACTCATCGTCTCTCTGAGTTGTAGACGGCAGTGAGTACATACAAAAATCATGTTTGGCACTGAATTATCACACTTGGGACATGTCTGGCAGAAAGTCCTAGCATATTAATGGTAGCACCTGTGCGGCATATTAATCCGGCTCTCCTTGCAGATGGCGATTTTTATAGATAAATGTTTTTTATTTTGGTTGTTGAGTTCACTATTTTTGCTTGTTTGACGGATTAACATGTGACGACTTTCAGAATCACCAACATAAAGTTCCTTTGTTTCGACGAAAGGTTAATCGATGAGTCATTGGTTCTGTTGACCGAACTGTCCATGGGATACACGACGGTCCGAAAATTGGTCTCACTACCACAAGCGCAGTTCCTGCTTGAAAACCATACTGTAACATTCATTTGGGGCTCGTCGTGCGCTT